ACAATGCTAGGCCGCACACGTCTTTGTCCACTCGGCAAAAATTGATGGATATTGGTCGGGAATTGATGTTACACCCACCATATAGTCCTGATCTCGCGCCATCGGATTACCACTTATTTCGATCCCTGGACAACTTCCTTCGTGGTAAAATTTTTAATGACGATGACGCTGTAAAATCTCACTTAACTCAGTTTTTGGCCGAAAAGGATCAGACTTTCTACGAGCGTGGAATTTTCAAGTTGTCAGAGAGATGGCAAAAGGTCATCGAACAAAATGGAAAATACATTACAGATTAAACTTCGTTCCAAGTAAACAAAAATGTTTTATTTCATTGAACAAATCGGCAATTACTTAGTTGCCAACCCAATAGTTCCTCAAACGAGTAAATTATTCGCACAATTCTTTATTCAACTAAGTTGTTTTAACCCTTTGCACTCGAAGCCATTTGAATTGTAAATCTAAAATAATTTTTCTGACTTATAGTATTTCCATTTTATACGATAAAATGCATTTTATGCGTACGAAATTGAGTCTTGCGGTGACTCGTAGAACAGTTACACTTTTAACGATGTTTTAAACGTAAACTTTGTTAATATAAAAATGATCTTGGAACGTGTTATAACAATTTCAACGGTGCCTCAGAGTCACCACGCGAGCGCAAAGGTTTAATAGAGATTGTGAAGATTGTACGCAATTTTACAAGAATGTCATTAAGGTTGAGACACATTTACGCAAACACACCTCGTTGGCGTACCCGATTTGTAAAATTTAGCAAACGGACATTGCGTATACGCTAATTATCGTGCCGTGGACACGCTGATTACTACGTCGTGTACCGCGACGCGCTGTGACGCTGCTAGCGAACGTGTTAATTCCATCAAAATCTTGTTAACGGCTTCTCGTAGTCCAATAGTTTCTCGCTAACAGCTGAAGCATTAGAATCGACGAGTCGACCGAAACGAGGAGGTTAATTCGAGCTTCATGGGTCCTAGGGTAAGTGAAAAATCGCGCAGGATCCGAATGAGATCGGAATCGCCGATCCTGCACCGTGACACGAACCGGTGGCTTTTAATGGCCGGCGAGGCGGTTCTGGCGTTGAAAATCTCGCGGGGTTCCGATACTGTTTCCCCTCGATAGAGAGAGAGAGAGAGAGAGAGAGAGAGAGAGAGAGAGAGAGAGAGAGAGAAACAAAAGAGCGCGCGTGCAGCGGGAGCTCTTGTATAATAAATCCAGTCGCAGCAGGAAGTCATGAATCGCGAAATGGTACGATTATTGGAACAAGACACGTGGCCGATTAACGTGAAATCCGCGTATAAGGCAACCGAGAAACGCGAAACGACCGGGTCCCGAGTTAATAATACGATTACCATTTCTCTAAGCACGCGAGCCATCGATTCCGCTGGGTCGGATCGGCCGGGAATCCAGGTGCCGGCGCGGGCCGTGGTCGGGCCGGCGGCAAGACCGAGGCTCGATTCGAAAAAATAACTGGACACCACCGGTCCTGGGCAAGAATGGCCGCGCGATTGTGAGGCGCGGCGAAAAACGCGGCAGCAACAACCGCGGCACGGTAACGGTTGTTTACGACTCGCCGGATAGAAAACTCCTTGCGAAATCCGATTACACGTCGGACACCGTTTCGCGGTTATTGCGGGTTAATTGCTTAAACGCAGCCGCGATTGCTGTTCGTAATATCTCGCCGGTTTTTCCGTTCCCTCGTTACGCCGGCACGGCGACGTTTTCAAGATCGTTTCCGCGATCGAAATCATTCCCCGGTAAATTGGCGCGCGGCCGGAGCCGTTCGAATTGATATTCGATCGCCTTTCTGCACTGTGACCGGGCAGCGCGACTCGTGCCAATCGTCTCGCGAATTCGCCGCGAAATTCCGCGGCTGGGCACGGCGCGTGCTTATCGCGTCGCGGAGAAATCTTCGGGGAATTCGAAAGGTCGTAAAGAGTCTTTTATCCGCGGCTGATAAAAACACACCGGCGCGTTGTTACTGCGACGCGAGCGAGCACGGCCAGATTTTACGAGCAAAAATCGCCGCCACCGTTCCGCGAACCGTCGACGAGCTGTCTACTCGATTCGCGCGAAGTTCACCGAAATTCGGCGCTCCCCGGTTCTTTCGCGTGCGGAGACAATCGGTGCGAGCAATCTCATCGCCGCTCGCCTAAACGGCATAAGCGAGTACCGGTCTGGTTGTATAACGAGGCGCATCAAGGATGCCAGCGGCAAAAGCATCGTCGTCGATTGTACGCAACCGCGCGCGCGCGCACGCGGCTGCAACCCGCCGACGACGAGAAAAAGTTGCAGGCCGCCGCTGCGCGAAAAAAGTCGCGCCACGAAGAAAAAATGCCGAAGGCTGATTTGCATCGACTTAACATTTATTCGCCGCAAACGAGGTCGGGCAGCAGCAAAAAAGCGCACGCGTCGAGATGCAGCGGGAAGAAAGCGGCGAGGAAAACGGGCAAGGCGGGGAGATGCAGCAGCGGCCGCGATGCAGCCGTTTCATAGCGGTCCCGCGGCTCGTTCGATCGGATCGCATTAAAACGCGACGAGATTTGAAATGCGACAGCGCTCGCGGATTTCGAAGGCAATCGAATTTGCCAGCGGCTGAAACCCACGTCACGAGATTACGTTACCGTCGCGGCGGACGTTGTGTAATCGTCGGCGTCGTTTTGTAAAAACGCGTTTCGACATGCTCCGCGTTCCCGTTACCGGTCGCGGATCGTTACGATTTTTCGACCACCGCGCGGATTCCTGTCCCCGCGTTTCCGCGCTGGTCAGCAGCTGCCCACGCACCCCCGTACCTTCGACTCCTCCAAGGATACCGCGATACACAATACACGGGGGCCGAAAGTGCATAATGCGGTTCGCATTGCCGCTGGAGCACCGACGCGCTCGCACGTGCGCCGTCTATTTCGAAGTTGCGAGCGCTTTATCTTTATCCATCGAGCGTGCTTATCTTTGTCCAGGAACATTTCCAGCGATTCTCGGAAGTGCGACCACTCGTTTATAATAGGATTTTTACCTTGTAATTTTGCCTCGTAACGTTGGAAATACACACTGTCACCGTCGATCTGTCAACGGCGGATCTTTGTGATAAACAAAAAACGATCTGCGCCGACCTTGCGGCTTCTTTCGCAGCTATGCTAAATAGAACTTGTTCGTCGTTAATAAACTCTTGCGAAAGGAAATGTGTGTGTGTATAATATACAATAAATATACACACACGCATTTTCTTTCGCAAGAGTTTATTACTATATTATTATTAGAGTTTATTATTATTATTATTATTATTATATTATTATATTATATTATAGTATATTATTATATATATATATAATATAATATAATAATATAAATAATATACAATAAATATACATTTCCTTTCTCAATAGTTTATTAATTATTATTATTATTATTTTATTATATTATATTATAGTATATTTTATTATATATATATAATATAATATAATATAATAATATAAATAATATACAATAAATATACATTTCCTTTCGCAA